AGAGTCTTCACTACAAGTACATTGCTCCATGTTACTCAAGGTTAATCAAAGTTTAATAGAATCTTCATCTTACAAAATACACTCAGTGTACAGAGTAAATGAGTCAAATGTGTTTTAGCCATAGCTATTGTGAGTCACATGACAGATGTAAAGTGACTTTAATTCAATAGATGATGAAACAAGAAAACCAAATAACTCAACAGCATAATATTTTAAACCTACACTTACACGCTCACCCAGTCACCTTTTATTGCATTAACTCCTTAAGGAAAAGAGTTACTCTTGGATGTAAGAACATAGTAGGATTGTGTCTTCGTTAGAATCTCACCGGTAATGTAAGAGCTTTGGGATTTCAGCACTTGATATAAGCAAGTCTATAAAAATGTGTGTACATGTTAAGCAGGTCAGACAATAAACAGTGAAACTTGAGCTTGGAACAAGCTTGGGACAAGCTCAATATGTACTTGGCTACATGTAGTTTATTTATTTTAAAGAAATATTATTCTAAATTTACAAAGCTTGTACAGCAATACTTTATAATCAGAAATTCAATGTTTGAGCAAAGAAACAGAAAAGTTGTACGAGTCTGGTTAGAACGCCAAACACATCCAGTCAGTAAAATAAATGATCTCCTTACCTTAATGAGAGGGTATGCCAGGGTTGGCTGGGGATCATGGGTGTTGAGTCAGGTCCAGTGCGAAGCTGGTTAAATCTTCTCACACGTGTGGTAGTGCTATGAAAACCAGTAGAGTTGAACATGCATAGCCACTGGTAAACTCTGGTGTATACTACGCGCTCAAGCGCTCCCTCACTGAGTGAGCACACAAGTCGTCAGCAGCAGCAGCCCGACAGCTGTGCTCAGGGAGATCCAAGAGTCGTCAGATAGAAACAGACATGCTGCTGCCTTGTGCTGCCGGTCTCTGCTCTCTCCAGCACTCTCCTCTGTCTCTCAGTCTGCAGCTCCCACTCTCTTACCAGTCTGTGTTGCTCTGCTCTGTCTCTCTCTCCCCCCTTAAATCTCGCTCTTGTACACACATGCATTTTCCACACTGCATCTGCTGCCTCGCTTTCTCTCACAAACACACACACATGCGCACATCTCTCTCAATTTTTATGTTCCAGCATTTTTCTTCACACACCACGTTCTCCTTGTAGTTACCCCAAATAGACTTTAATGGTTTTAATGTCTCTATATTTTTCAATTCATTCTAGTTACTTTTCCCTCTTTACAATCTCTCCTCCCAGTATTTTTTTCTGTTATCACATTTTCACTTTTAGCCCTAACCCTTGATGTACATTTAATTTTAGAGATTTAACATACTATACAGGAGAAAGACAGAGGAACTGAAGAGAGAAAGATGAAAACAGAAAGCTAACCGTGAGAATGCAAAGGCACAATGACACACAGGCACAAAATGAATATCTTGATGTGGGGAGTTCTCGGGGGTGGACTGGGGCACAGGTTTGACTTTGAAGTGCAACTGAAAGCAAAATGTCATGCTTAATGTTTGCTCCCTTAGCACAGTTTATTGCTACCAGCAAAGTCACATTAGTGTGGGTACATTTGCTCCCCAAGTTTCTTGAATAGAATTTCACAAGGCTGGAGAAAAAGGGGTCCCAAAAGCTGCAACAACACAGAATTTGCAGACCACACTAATTATAAACTATTTACATTTTCATACACAAGATGAAAATATGTCTCAGCTGGAGTTAAAACGCATGAAAATTTCAGAAGATTGTGTGACGGGGGTGTAAAGTGGGAAACGATTCATTTCCAGTGCCCCTTATTCAGCATTCGTGGGTCTGAGGGAATGCATCTCAGCAATAGCAACATCACCATGTTAACAAAATCTATCCACATACAGCCAGATATATATACATCTGCCAAACTACTCTCTGTGCTACTTTTCGCTACAGCAGGTGTCTTCAGATCCACATTTTGCCACTAGCACACAAATACAGAAAGACAGACTGAAAACAATGCCAGCCATGCTGTTGCAGCTGGTTGAGATGTCACATCTGTCTTCACGACTTGAATGTGTGACATGACATACTGATGGGCGATGGCATTACAGAATTTTTCCAGTCTTTTGCCCCTGATCCCACTTTTTTCATATGCATCGCTTGCAGTGTATTGAAAATGTAGCTATGGTTATGAAAAAGATAATATTTCTCAAATTAAAATTTCACATTTAGTCTTTTTCTTTCAGTTATTCGTCTTTATCATCTCCCTTCATCTTACCCTATTCCTAGCATCACCATGCTGTCACACCAACCCTGTGCATATCCTAACAGTGGTAATAATTTAAAACAATACACTGTTGTGTGTCTCAAAAGGAGGCAGACTGTAATAGTTTTCCAGGCTTTCTGATGTACTGTCAAAGTTATTCAGTCCAGTCCTGTACCTCACCATTTTCAGATTCAAATTACTGTAAATGTAAAAAAGGAAGTGACAAAACAGAGCCAAAAAGAGAGGGATAGATACTCCATTGGTCTTGAACTGCTTTTTAGCCAGTGGTGTTGGCAATTTTGACAAAATTGATGGAATTATGAGTGCAGTACAGTCAGAACGGTCAGATCTCGGTCCACCATCCAGTATCATCTAGAAAACATCTGACTGGCAACAACTTAATTCTTGAGCATGACAGTGGTTCTAAACATACTGCAGTTAAAGCATACATGAATATAAAAACACACAACTGAGCAAAGTCTGCCTACCCAGAGTCCCAGGGACCATTATTTAAGCAGAGAATTGAACAAAAGGTCACCAACACATTCAGAACACTTCTGAAGAAGAGTTTTGAATGTCCTTCAAGAAGTCCAGAGAACTATTCTAGAAGACTACGTATAAATATTACAAAAAAGCTTATCTAACAGAGTTCAGGCAGTGTTGAAGAATAAGAGTGACTAAACTAAACCCTTGCTTTATTTCCATTTATGTCTGCACCTATTCCCCCTTTTCCTAGAAAAATATAAATACATGAGGGAGGATTTTAGACTTTTGCATACTATTTTGCAGAATAAGACAACTGTTGAAAGCAGAGTTAGTTCCATTGTAGACAGGCATAGAGACAACACACAGTGTTGGACAGGTGCATACTTGACATGTAAACTGTAAGGACAGATGACACAGGCTCTAGGTAACAAATGCTGAGTGCACACATGGTGATACCCCATAGCCCATCACTGATAGCCCATCTAACACAAGAATAAGGATGTGCAATTCTGGGGCTAACAGTGGCTACCTGTCACCCACAGCAAAAAAGTTCTGCATTTGAATCTTCTGCAGATGGGCCCTGTGGTACAGAGTTTGCATGTTCTCTCTGTGCCTGGGGTACTCTGGATTCCTCCAGAGTACATAGAATAAAGTGCTGTATGGGCAAATGTTTCTTGTAGTCTAAAGTCCTTTGAATGTAATGATTTATTTATGAATGAATTGTAAAAATTTGCATGCAGCGAAGGATTCCTGATCAATGAATTTTTTGTTTATTCTGGGGGAGCCAAAATCTTCTTCATCATTATCAGCACATTTTTTAATTTTAGTACAAATACTTAAAAGTGTAGTAAAAGTAGTCAAAGTGATAAAGTACAGACTCTGAAATGTACTCACAGTAAAAAGTCTTTGGAGAACATTTCTACTAACTATTTTTGTGCAAAGAGAACAAACAAAAATAACTATTTTTGTTATATTAGTATTTGTCTCCACATCTAAACAGACTCCACACAGCCACTGTGCACCAGGGCAACACAGTGTTTGGCTGTAAATTCAAGACAAGCTAATCTGTTTGTCCTAATGTTACATGTGAGCTCTAAATTTCCAATTTAACAGATGTTGCAGAGAAGTCCTCAACTTTAAATGTAACCTCTCTTCTTCCTCTCCTGTCCTGCCTTTCTTACATCTTTCACCTTCTGTGAGTGAAGCCATCTCACACTCTGTTCTCTTCCTGGGAAATACAGCACCTGTAACTTTAGTTGGCAGACAAACTGTGTGAGAAATTGCACAATTCTGTGCTTTGTTTCTGAAATTTGTTGAATTGTTTGAACAATTGCATTTTAAATTACCTGCCACTTAAAAAAAACACATTGCTCTCTTTGTGCTCGCTCCTCTTCTGTAGCGCTGGATTGTTTTCCTCATGAGTATTCACTATTTTCCACATTAGTAACCCTGTTGCTAGCCTGTCACACAAACTATAACTGATGTTGATACAAGATAATTACTTGGATACAAAAGTGGTAATTAATTGGTAAAAAACTTACAAATTACTGCTCTCCTTGTTTCCACTTTATTACACCACTATTACCACATTATCACCGAGTTGCATTGCCAGGTCCTTACTCGAATTAGAAAGTAATGTCACCACAAAGTCATGAACCCACAGAAAAAATATTTCCTTTCCACCTTCATTCCTGTCATTAGCTCAAGTGTTTGCATATAAAGAAAAATCAAGGTCACCATATCCTTTTTATCCTCAGAATCTAGCAAACTAAGGATTTGATTGCTTTCCTGAGGAAGCAGGTTATTACAAATACACCATTTCATATAGAGCTCATAATGAGTTATGAGTGAAGTATGTGATCTATGTTCCTTCACACATTCTCATGCCAGGCAAAAAAGAAAATCTAAGGACAAATAAGCAAAAAAACAACATAAGTCTGCCAGACAATCAAAAGGCTGGATCAAAAAGGCGGACCCAAAAGCAGACTCAACAGAAGGGAAGTTTCACAGGAATGGAAGGTTTATTTCATCTTTTTCTCAAGAGACTGGATCACAGGGGCAGGAAAGAGACAAGAGTCACCGGTGAGGAGATACTGAAACAGAGGTAGAGGTGAGGTAGCTGTTGAAGTGATTATGGAAATGACCAGCATTCTCCTTACTTTGTTTGGCAGAGCTGTGGAGCTTTGAGGGGGAAGGGGAGTGTCCAGGTAAGTGTTGAGGTGTCCAAACAGAGAAGGATACAGGAGGGGAATTCCTTTGACAGGTGTTTGCTCTAGCAGAGAGTGATCTGGGGAATCCTGAGAGCAAGTGAGCAGGTGAGTGGTACAGGAGCCATGGATGTTGCAAGAATGGCCAGCGGGACAGTGATCCAAGGAGTTATTGAAATGTAGGAAAATATGTCCTTAGGCGTGGAGACTGTAGCACAGGAAGACGGAATATTAACATTTGGAAAACAAACTTGAACTCATACATGGAGGCTGATTTACCACTGTGAGTAGCAGACGATCTGGCAAAGAGTGGAAATCAGCGCTGGCCTTAAATGCAGGACTGCTGATTGCTGCCAATGGCTTGCAGGTGAGACTGGGCTGGCCCTGGTGCCAGACTCCGCCCAAGACCAGCGAAGCCAAGGTGGAGGAGCCGAGTGGAAAAATAACAGAAACACAACACTTCCCCAGACAATGGCGAAGTAAGCTTGTTTTTTCTGTACGGAGTATTTAGTGAGACTTTTTCCACATTTCAGATCCAACCTTGATCCATAAATATCTGAGAGCACTGAATGGTATACCTGCTTGAGTTATCGGAGTCAGCCTCACTGGTCTGACAACAGGAGCTGAAGCAATGTTTGTTGCTTCCAGCTGTTTCAGTTAATGAAATATGGCATGACACAGCATGCGAAAGCATTATCCATAACTATTCATTATTTCTAGTCAGAACTATCAATTACTCCCGAGATAGATTATATCAGGACCTAACAGCAAATCAAAATCTACTCTGTGCAACTGAGACACAAAGACGTTTTATACACAGCAGTTGCCCTCAGGTTGAATCCTGAGCTCCATCATTGCTGTTGGGAATGTTTTACAGCCATGGGCCACTTTCTTAGACCGCTTTTGCTTTCAGAACTGCCTTAATTCTTCTTGGCATAGATTCAACAAGGGGCTGGAAACAGTCATCACAGATTTTGGTCCATATTTTGACACAATATCTTCACACA